TACACCCTTCTTGATTCATAAAATATAATCATGCATAACTTCCCTGGAAAAGTTGGTGGGGAGAGGTCAGGACGCCCCCCCCCCCCCCACGTAATTCACGCCTCTGCAACAACAATAAATTTGAAATGGTGTATGAAGGACACTGCTTTGAAATACCTGTGAGTAGACGTGAATACAAACATGAACACAGGTAAGGTTTCAGTAGAGCTGAAGATGACAACAGAGAGTGGACTCACTCCATGGGCGGCGCCAGGGGGGGGCAAGGGTGGGCTGGAGCCCTCCCAAAATTCTCGCCTGCCCCCCCTATGCCCACCCAAGTGCCCGGAAGCATATATTAAAAACCTAGTAGGAGCAGAGCTAGCTTGCCCCCCGGAGGAACTCACTTTTCGTGGTTGCCCCCCCCCCCCCCCCCAGTAAAAACATCCTGGCGCCGCCCCTGACTCACTCACGAAATCCGTATTGCACTTCAGACTCAATCGGGCTAAGACTCACTTAAATTTTCCTGGGCCGAACTCACTCGTACTCAGGCTCACAAAGACTTACTTAAACTGAACTAACTCATATCTACGAAAATATTACTCACCCGGACTCACGGCTCGATCTGAACAAGTCCTATTGAGTCGACTTATGAGTGTGCTCGCCGGTCTATGCTTGCGGAAACGTCGGCTCGAGACTGCACAACCCCTATTTGCGCATTATTTTTCATCGCAAGCTTCTATCATCCCCTTCTCGCCATTTTTTTTTAATTTCGTTGGTGCAAGTATTCACCGACAGTTTGTCTGCTCTTCATTATCGCAAACGCGACATGACGTGTATGTTCACACGGCACCAAGTTCTCTTATGTGCACTAGCATGGAAGTACTTCACTCTATTACTGTAACCTGTGAGAACACATGGGCCCATACATTTAATTCTTTTTTGAATTTCACGCACACGCACAGACACACATACAAGCACACACGCACACACGTACACGCACACACACACGCACGCACACAGACGCACAACCACACGCACCCACGCACACACACACGCACGTACACACACGCAAGCACACACACGCACGCGCACACACACGCAAGCACACACACGCACGCACACGCAAGCACGCACACGCACAGACGCACACACACGTACGCACGTACACGCACGCACACACACGCAAGCACACACACACACGAAAGCACACACACGCGCGCGCAAGCACACACACGCACGCACACACATGCAGGCACACACACACGCACGCACACACGCAAGCACACACACACACGCACGCACACGCACGCACGTACACGCACACACACGCATGCACTCACACACACACGCGCGCGCACGCACGCGCACACACACGCAAGCACACACACACACAAGCACACACACGCAGGCACACACATGCAAGCACGTACACCGCACACACACGCACACACACGCATGCACTCAAACACACACACACACGCGCGCGCACGAACGCGCACACACACGCAAGCACGCACACACACACGCACACACCAAGCACACACACGCAAGCACACACACGCACACACGTACCACACACGCAAGCACACACGCACGAACACACAGACACACGCACGCACAAACACACACACGCAAGCACACACCACGCAATCACACACGCAATCACACACGCACGCCGCGCACACACACACACGCACAGGACACACGCACACGCACACACACACACACGCACACACACACGCAAGCACGCGCACACACACGAAAGCACACACACACGCGCGCGCGCGCAAGCACACACACGCACGCACACACATGCAAGCACACACACACACGCACGCACACACGCAAGCACACACACGCACGCACACACACACACGCACGCACTCACACGCGCACACACACGCACTCACACACACACACGCATGCACTCATACACACACACACACGCACGCGCACACACACGCAAGCACGCACACAAATACACAAGCACACACACGCAGGCACACACATGCAAGCACACACACGCACGCACGCACACACACGCACAGACACACACACACGTACGCACGTACCCGAACACACACACACGCACGCACGCGCACACACACGAAAGCACACACACACGCGCGCGCAAGCACACACACGCACGCACACACACACGCACGCACACGCACACACACACGCACGCACACGCATGCACGCACACACACACGCGCGCGCACGCACGCGCACACACACGCACGCACACACACACACGCACGCACGTACACGCCTCTGTATTCGTCAAAAACATGCAACGAATTTCTTATCTTCAGAATCCACTTTTCCTCATTTCAACACATATGAGAGTGCAATAGAAGCGTGAAACGTTGGATTAGCTATGATGAAAAACAGGGAAAAAAATATGTCGATGGATAACGCACGAACGAAAGGAACGTGTGAGAGGCAGGATAGAGCGTGCTCCTTTTGTCGGCGTAAAACTCTCCAAACAGGCGTCGTGTGCTTCGATAAGCGGACTTATCTTCTTCAAGGCTGGACGTAGGCCGGCAAAATTCACGAAATATATTTCGAGCTTTGTACTCAATCGGACTCAGATTCACGAAAATTTTCTTCGCCAGGGCTCACTCAGACTCACGGCTCGATCTGAGTCTGAGAGAGTCGACTCATGAGTCCGTTACCCTGGAATCAGCCCATTCGGCCTTGGTGCCAATCAGTGCTCTTTTTGGCGCCGTTTGACATAGTGTCTTCGAAAACGAAATTGGAGTGCTGGTAAACCAGTCAGGTCGATTTGGCAGCATAAGATATAATCATGCATAACTTCCCTGGAAAAGTTGGTAAAGGGAGATCACCCCCCCCCCCCCCCCCCCCCCCCACGTAATTCACGTTTCTGCAAAAACAATAAAATTGAAATGGTGTATGAATGACACTGCTTTGTAATACCTGTGAGTAGACTTGAATAGAAATGTGAACCCAGGTAAGGTTGACAGTAGTGCTAAAGATCACAACAGAGAGTGGACTCACTCACGAATTCTGTATTGCACTTTGGACTCAATCGGGCTAAGACTCACTTAAATTTTCTTAGGACGAACTCATTCGGACTCAGACTCACAAAGATTTACTTAAACTGAACTAACTCAGATCTACGAAAATATTACTCACCCGGACTCACGGCTCGATCTGAGCAATTCCTAGTGAGTCGACTTATGAGAGTGCTCGCCGGCCTATGCTTGCGGGAACGTCGGCTCGAGACTGCACAAGCCCTATTTGCGCATCATTTTTCGTCGCAAGCCTCTATGATCCCCTTCTCGCCATTTTTTTGAATTTCGTTGGTGCAGGTATTCACCGACGGTTTGTCTGCTCTTCATTATCGCAAACGCGACATGACGTGTATGTTCACACGGCAGCAAGTTCTCTTTTGTGCCCCAGGATAGCAGTACTTCACTCTATTACTGTAACCTGTGAGAGTACATGGGCCCATAAATTTAATTCGTTTTGAATTTCACACACGCACACACACGCACACACACACGCACAAACACACACACACGCACACACGCACGCACACACACAGACACACACACACACGCACGCGCACACACACACGCAAGCACACACACACGCACGCACACACACACACGCACGCACGTACACGCACACAGACACACGCACGCACAAACACACACACACGCACGCACACACACGCAAGCACACACACGCACGCACAAGCACACACACATACGCAAGCACGCACACACACGCACGCACGCACACACACGCACGCACGCGCACACACACGCAAGCACACACACGCAAGCACACACACGCAAGCACACACACACACGCACACACACACGCGCGCACGCACGCACACACGCGCGCAAGCACACACACACACACGCAAGCACACACACGCAAGCACACACACACACACGCAAGCACACATACGCACACGCACGCACACGCACAAACACACACACACACACACAAGTGAAAACTTCGACCAATATAAATGCTTTGCGGATGTGCAAGGTCCCGAAATTACTTTTGAATCGATTGTACTTTTGTTGTGTACACACGTGTGCAAGACAGGAGGAAGGGCACACCCCTAGTCACCTAAGAGGGGGGCGCGAAATTGGGTCCACACATTGACTTTAATTTGAGCACGCTTATATGTACAAGGTATACAGAGTTGGATGAAATAAACAGCTACGTTAATGTGGAAAGTTGGGCAAGTCAGCAAACATTCAGGATTTGAATAGCGTAAATGACAATGGACAGAACGAAAAAAAAGAAAAATCAGACAGGTACCAACTCGCAGCTAAGCGTAATCACATAAGATCGCAAAAATAAGTACAGCAGGCCGCCTCAAAGCATACAAAGAAGAGAGAAAGAGAAAAGAATGCAATTCACACTACGCCTGGTTACTTGACCTTGTCCCTTGTTATTTGCGCTGTTTAGCATGATAACCCCACCACAGTGGTGTAGCAGCCAGTGCTCGGCTGCTGAGCTGAAGACTAGGGGTTTGATCACTACAGCGGCCGTCGTTTTACGATCGGGTTAAATAATAGAGGCCCGTGTAGTGTGTGATGTCAGCGCACGTTAAAGAAAGCTGCAGATCGTCAATGTTTTCGGAGCCCTCCCCTACGGCGATTCTCAAAACCTTATCGTGGTTCGAGACGTTAAAGGAACATCATAACTAGCTCTCTGAACTCCCAGTGCTCGCTAAAGCCGGTAAACAGTCCTGTCAAGCGTAATCACGTAGCGAACAGAAGTGATGACGGGAAACAAAAAGACGCGTACGCTTAGGCGACGTTTCATTTGCACAGGCAACTCGGCTAAGGACTTCCACAAACGACGATTTTCTCGGCAGTGCGTTGCCCGCGCCACCGCGAGGCATCAACGCAGATGCCGCCATCTGTCGCGGGGTCCAAACACGACGGCTGTTGCCATGGCGACGCGTGTTTGCGTGCGGCGCCCTGGTTCTCACAGCATTCGTGGCGAGGAACCGGCTTCAGGAGGGCATGGACACGACCAGCAATGCGCCAGCGCCGAGGTGAGGAATTGTGATTCGGTGTGAACAGCGTGTGACGTCAGACGACGGATAGAATAGCTGGTTCGCGAGCTGTCACAAATGTCGCGTTATACAGAAGAGGATTTAAAACTGATAGATATGCGGGGTTTAACGTCCCAAAAACCACCACATGATTATGAGAGACGCCGTAGTGAAGGGCTTCAGAAATTTCGACCACCTGGGGTTCTTTAACGTGCACCGAAATATGAGCACACGGGCCTACAACATTTTCGCCTCCATCGAAAATGCAGCCGTCACAGCCGGAATTCAATCCCGCGACCAGCGGGTCAGCAGCCGAGTACCTTAGCCACAAGTTGGTAAGGATTCATGGCCAGTATAAGCATTACCAGCACCCTCCCCACCACCACCAAAATAAGAAAAAAAAAAGCCAGCACTACAAGAATGCTCTTTCAAATGAAAATTTTTATTGAAAAAACACTTTAAAATTTTATTAACTGTCACGTCTGTCTAACCAAGCGGGATCGTCATGAGCTTTTTTTTTCTTTCTAAGAGCATGCACAGTTGAAAGTATTTTCCGATGTTCTTTCAATAAAAAAATTGTGAACGTCTGAACCCATGTTGTGTGCACTCCTCCTTAGACGTGATAATACTAACTGGGGTTTATTATCCCAAAACCACGATATGATAAGAGAGACGCCGTAGAGGAGTGGCACCTGAAATTTAGAACACCTGTGATTCTTTAACGTGCTCCTGAGTTTAAGTACACATGCCTTCCAACAGACTATCACAACGTAGTACGTCAACATGTATTCATTAAATATCAGTAATAATTAACAGTGTTTAGTACCGACAGGTACTAAACACTGTGCAAATCAGTGCATGGCAGAACTGGCAGACGCCCTGCCACGCCATAGTAAAGGCGAGTGCGTGAAGTTGAAGACGCCACGAAGCTCTACATTTGTGCTTTGTTCGAAGTGAAATACGTTGAAGCGGTGGGACGCGCAAAAGGAGCCGACCAAACAAATAAAGAATTCATCATGCTCTACCTACAATGAAGGCATAATGTGCAAACAAACAAACCAGTTGGAGGTTGGCGAAGATGGAAAGACACGCGGAAAATAAATTTGTAGTTTCATGTCAAAGAATCCATTAAACTTTGCCTTCGCTAAGCGACGACACAGTTTATTTCTAATTTCAATTGCTTGCACTACAGCAGAATAAGCGCATCACACGTAAAGAAAAAAAAAAGGTTGAATTTGTGTTCGCCTACAAGAATGCTTCACTGCATTTATTGCACTTTTGAAAGGTGGCTTTTCCACAATAATACTCTAGTTGCAGAGAAGCCCGCTTTCACGCTCTTGCGCATATAATCGTTATTATTGCGTGATCGCACTTACAACACGATTTCCGCAACTCTTAGCACTGCAACAAGCAACTAATCAATAAAACCACGTGGGACTTGTGAATACATGGTTCCTGTCAACCGTGAAACAACTCCATCAGCCGGTTTGCGCGCACCGCTGGAACTTCTGCGGATGTGCAAGCGCAAAATAAACGAGGTTTCACAAAACCTTGCCCGCGCCTTCTCACACGAATAACGCTTTTTTGTAAGAGCCTTGATTGACCGTATACCTTGCTTAGGCTTTTTTTTTTGCTGTGGTTGCACCCCAAAAGTACACTGTACTCGCAACGTAATGAAGCCAACAGACAATGGAGTTACAGTGTCTGTTGGTTTCAATAACTTGTTTTCAATAGCCATTAAAATGGTTGATAAGATGCTCACGAAATTGACCGTGACTACACTGAAGCGCGATGCTGTTTCAAAGATCGTTCAAAGCGCGTATGATGCGTGGAAGTGATTAGTAGTAAAAAGCATTAGCAGTGCCGTAGACACACAGTCATTGGGTAATCAATGCGATAAATGAGAGGGACGTTGCAATAGTGCTAGCGCTGTAGTGTTTACGGGATCTCGTAATTTTGTTTAAAAAATATAACCTGATCAGAATAACACATCTAACGGAGAATTGCGTAGACTTGGTTGACGAATAACTTACACGCAACGACGGGCGCCGTCTAATGGCCAGCGTAACTTAAGGCTTCTCCACAGAGCTTGATGATTTAGTGCTGTGCATCCTGTAAATCGTTGTAAGTTGTTGGTCGTTAGTGCATCATCTAGCGCGTTTCAATGCGTTATCATGTTCAAGTAATTTCGTCCGTAATTTTATCCACTGAATTTTACAAACATCTTGGCGTAACATTTTCGGGTAATATTTCCTAGTTAGCCCACGTCACCAATGGTTAACTCCGCGAATTATGCTTTGGGCATATTATCCTACATTACATTGTTCGTACTGAATTATATATCTATGCTCTTTTGGGGATGCTCCCAAATCTAACATATCTAGCAGAGTAAAAGCCGCTCAAAATCGTGCTGCTCGTTTTATCTACTCTGAGTATTCCTATGACTTCAGTGTGTCCGAACTTAAAACTCGCGGTAACCTTGCTAACCTATAACTACGACATCATATATCCCGACTATGCTTTCTTTTCACAAGTGTTACCATGATCTTACCGAGTTCCAGCAATCCTGCCAGTCCATCGCTTATCAAGCCACACAAACCAAGCAAGAGCAGTGTATAGCCTCCACCAGCACAAAGTATCGCCCACATTCACTTGTTTCTTTTTATTACAACCGCACAGGACTGGCACCACCTTCCTATAACTGCTGAGCACCACTCTGACCGTCATCAATTCAAGGCTGCTCCCAAGTCACGTCTTCACTGCAATTTTAACTTATCGCTCATGTAATATCCGAACTAACTAACTAACAACTAACTAACTAACTAACTAACTAACTAACTAACTAACTAACTAACTAACTAACTAACTAACTAACTAACTAAATAAATAAATAAATAAATAAATAAATTCTCAAAAGAAAATGAAAAAAATTAAGGCAGCATCGCCCCAGGAGTGCCGAGCCTGAGGTAAAGGCGGAGACGGGCATTCTTCTTTTTTTTTTCGATTTCTATTTCTTCCTGTGTCGATTTCTTTTTGTATTTCCCGTTTCTTCTTCCTTTATTTCTATTTATTTCCTACTATCTCATATTGAATTTATTTATTTATCCTTTTTTATTTTTTCTTTGTCTCTCTTGCTCCATTCAGCGATTCCTTCCTTTTTTTTTGTTTTCACACATGCTTCTGCCGGCGTTACCCCAAGCCTACCAGCCTTTTTTTTCTTTTTTCGCTGCTGATGAGAATTGACCACGTGCTCGAAGAACAAGAGGAAGAAGACTTCTCCTTGGCGTGCTAATGTGCCACACATGGAGCGTTACGACAAGCGACGACGGCAGCATACGAGAGCCCGAAAGTGATCCGCACACGAAAGCGCATGCTCCGCCCAGTTAACCAGTCCAACTAGCCCAGTTAGCCATCACGCTGAACTACACGCGCTTGCCCGCTTATTCACGTACTACCAAACACTGACTGATGTTGGTTAGTGGTTGGAAAACTGTACGTCGATTGTATTGCCTGCTCGTCTTTACCTATAGTCTTGCCTAACTATAAGCTGACGAGTGTTGCACCGTTGGCCCACCCAGCGGAGGCCCCCCCGGTGGCGCGTGGCTGCGCGCCCACCACGACCCGTACGCGTCCCTGTACGCCCTTCCCGGTGGCCTGTGCACGGCCGACGTGCTGGCCGACGGCGACCAGAGACTGCTGGTGGCCGACTTGCGCAACGGAGGACGGCTGCGTCTCTTCCGCGGGGGACGGCAGCAGCAGCAGGCCGAACAGGCGCTGGCCGCCTTGCCGTGCGGCCTGGCCGCCTTCCGAACGGGTCGGTATTGTTGGTTTGTTTTTGTTTTTGCCTGATCGCTCTGGCACATACCCACTCGGGCGATTGGCCAAGAAAACTTGTAGTAGCCTATTAATGATAACTGCACAATGATTGTCAGCATACTATTATAATTTACAAACAAAGAAGGAAAATATATTGCATACTATCTTTTAAGAATTATATCAATACCAGTCTTATTCGCATTCGTCATCTTCAACCACGTACAACGCGTTTTGACACATATTTCAGTAGAAAAGGAAGGCCCCACAAACGACCACGGACACGACGGACATGGTGATCACGTCAAACCGAAGCTCACCTGTGATGTTGGGTGGGTATATGAAATACCCTCAGTATAGAAGCGTGCAGAATTATCCACCCGAGGAGAAAGGAAAGGGCGGGTGGGGCGAAGTATCAACGCAGTGTTGCCTCCTTCCCCCCCCCTTTTTTTTTAAATACCCTCCCGTTGAGGCCTTTACAATCATTACGCAGTGCAAATACTAAGTATTAAGGGGGGGGGGGGAGCAGTTATTCTGACATATATATTTATTCTAAGAAATCGATCGCAGAGTGGCCCTCGTCCAGTCCTTCATGTCAATGCTTTCTTCTCGTCCGCTTCTTTTTTTTTTTTACATGATGTAAGCAGATGCAGGCATACAATGGAGGTGCCAACTATTCCTCAGCTCTTTGAGGTGTCTACCATAGAACACACAGGGTGCAAAATTTCCGAGCATAACAAATACATTGACAGCACATACACTACGCACAACTTTACGGATACCATGACACTACATTAGGACGTCTCAAAAATACAAAGAATGACGTTTTGTATGAAGCTCTGAAGTCATACGTATAGATCAGGTATAGATGAATTTTCCCGCTGCGACCTAATAATCTGCGCAACATCGTCAACAATCATGCATGTGTATGCACTGTGACGTTAAAACAACACAAAGCTTATTCGAACATCCAAGGATGACATGCACTATCTCAAAAAAAAAAAAATTAGAACGCCTCACTTCTGAAAGTCTTTTGTGGCGCTGGTCCATGGGCCCAATTAGCAGTGTCTTGAAACTTCGTGTTCTTCAGTATAGTGCCATTAATTCTGATTTAGGTAGGCGTCTTGGCCCTGGAGCACGTCTTAGGCCGATCGAATATGTTTCCGATGATGATAACTGCATTTATGAAGGACTCAACCCTCTGGAGGATTGGCCAAGAAACGAATGATTTATAAATAACAGCGGTCACACTTGAATTATTCAACTATTGAATTATAGTATAGTTAGAATCAGTTAAGAATGGTAATTCGGAAATTTAAAATCAATACCACCCCGATTCAATTAAGAATTTGCGTACGCCAGAACAGGCATCCCGGTGACTATGCACGACTAACGAGGAGGTTCCTAAGAATATAACATTAGGAGCCACGAAATCCAATCTGGCTCGACTAAACACCGCGTTGAGAATGTTGTTGTACGTTCTTCTGTTATACAACGCGGCCCGAGCGCGTCAGCAGAGCTGCGCCGCCCGTGCAGAGTCCGCCCCTGCGGGCCAGCCTCCTTCCGTGGCGGTGGCGGCGGGCTCCTGCCTCTACGTGTACCGCAACCTGAGGCCCTTCTACAAGTTCAGCCTGCCTCACACGGCTCCCGACGAGCAGGAGAACGAGGCCTGGTCCAAGCAGCAGGTACGGCCTTCATTATTAGGTGCCCACGCAAACACGGCATTGAATACCCGCCGCGATGATCTAGTCTCGGCTGCGGACCCGCACGTCGCGCAATCGAATGCAAGGTCGCAGTGGCCGAATTTTCGATGAAGGCGAAAATGCTCGAGGCCCGCGGGTGCATGAATTTAGGGGCACGTTGAAGAACCCTAGGCAGTAGAAATGTCTAGGGACCTCCACTACAGCACGTCTCATAATCACATCGTAGTTTTGGAATGTTATTATTATTATTATTATTATTATTATTATTATTATTATTATTATTATTATTATTATTATTATTATTATTATTATTATTATTATTATTATTATTATTATTATTGGCAGTGAAAGAAAAGTCGGCGTGAGAGGTGCGAAGCAAGAAGGATTGCGTGACCTCCAAGAGCGGAAGTATGGCTGTGCACATATATGACAATAATCCAACAAAAACTGAGTAAGTCGACTAAATAGCAAATGTTTAATAATGAAAGTTAATGAGTGATGGCAACTATATGATGATAAATCAAGATGAGAAGGGACCTTATAACGAGAGATTATCAATAAAAGATAAGTACAAACGTTTATATAATGACGCTTAATTAGAAACATTAGTTAGTGGACGTTCGACATCGATTATAGTGCACAGTAAAATAGCCATACCACACTTCCTGCACCTTGGCTTACGTCGTAGACAATTAGACCAACCATGAGCAAAGTATACGCAGCAGTATCTTCTGAAAATTATGCTGCTTATAATTCTGGACCAGGACGAACACTTCCGCAACTAAAAAGCTTTTTTTCTCTGAGAAATACGTACGGATTTCTTTGGGGCTTCGTGCTACGAACGGGCAACTGTCTTCCTTCCCTTTCTTGGTAATAAACCAGCGTACCAAATAAAAGAGAAAGAGAGTGCAGATAATCACATTGTGCCCCGGAATCACCATCGTTGCACTGTTCGCGAATGTCCGCTGTTCCTTTCAAAGTGACGTCACTTGTTCAACCCTGTGAGCTCGAGAGCACATTGTCACTCGGTTCACTTGGCTGCAATGCAGGATCCGGACGTCCTGAGGGAGGCCCTCGAGGCTCTGCGGTGAGTGCGAACGGTGACGTTGTCTTCCTGCCTTCTTTGCGAGGTCACGCCGTGACGAACGAGATGGTCTTCATATGGTGTTGCGCAAACATACAAGGGCCGGGAAAAAAAAAGAGAAGCAACACGGTATGATGCGCAAACTACTTTATTTCGAGAAATGGACATACCTGCGTACATCAAACTGTTTTATGACGCAAAAGTGTGGGCTCTTTCGATCATACAGAGAAGGTAACTACCGAAACATTGCCTATATGCACGTCAGCAGAGGGCGCCCGTTAGCACTCCCTCGATGGCCATGTCTCGGAAACAAAGAATTTTTTTTTAAGAAAACTGTGTTAGCGCATACATGACACGTGTCGGTGACATGTTAAACACCCTGACATGCTTTCTCTAATTTTTTTTTTATCACTGAATTCCCGCTCTCCAGTTTTCATGTTTCTTTTTTTTTTTCCTTAATACGTATAGGCCTGACTATGCTTCGAAATAAAGTAGTTGTTGGTTTGCGCATCACCTTGTGTTGCTTCCCGTATTTTGTCATTCGCGTCACACCTATAGCATCGCATCGCAAGCATTAAACCACTCATTCCCACATTAAGCGATGTCGTTTACATAGTACGTCACGCGTGCGTCTATCGACGAGAAAGTGTTAGGGAGTTTGCTGGTTATGTCCACTAGCGTGCTTTCATGATTTGATATCTGGGGTTTAACGTCCCCAAACTACCATACGATTACGAGAGACACCGTAGTCGAGGGCTCCGGAAATTTTGACCACTTGGCTTTCTTTAACGTGCACCCAAATCTGTAGCAAGCTTTCAAAATACGACGTTGCACTGACGTGACGGTAATTCAGAGCAGTGTTTACGAAGATGGTGGCATGATAACTTGTATAACAGTCATTGTATAACAGAAGCGAGTATGCCCGCGGACAGGAATTACTTTCGATAAAGAAGTTCCACCATCTCCCGCTAAAGGGAACCCCGTGTAGATGCGAAGCACCGGACGCTAACGCTTACACTGGTGGCGACGTTCGTTGAGGCTGGCGCTCATCGCGGCGTTGCGCAGAGGGAAACCGAGGAGGCGCAAAGCACGCAGTGATGGACCTGTGTTTCCTACTAGAACATGCCAATCACTGCTAATGATAAACGACTCCGATTGGACACAGACCAGCAGCCTGCTTTTATTTAACGCGCACGCTGCGAATTTTTCTTATGCAAAAAAAAAAATGTGGTCGAGCTTCATCCGGTGTGCGGCGTGACCACCCTTACAGCGCATGCGCGTTCCTCCTCCTCTCCTACGCTCTCGCCTCGCAACGTCGACGCAGGAAGCGTTCGCTAGAACACGCTCGCTCCCCCTTTCCCTCCTCCTGGCGTCCCTTCCCGTGGCGTTTACACACCCATTGCGCATGCGAGTCCCGTCCCCCTTTCTCTCCTCTCTCGCCTCCCAACGCCGACACAGGCAGCGTTTCCTAGCGAGTTTCTTGATTGAAAAAAAATTGGGGGACCCTTAAGCTTCGCCTTTAAAAATTGAACGCGATATTCTGTTCCTAGTGCGTACTCCAAACACTTAGTGCATGGAAAAAAAAAAGCTGACCTCCTTCCAGCCTTGTCGCTCCGACCTGAGGGGCTCTTGGTTCAACCAGCAGGTAAACCGATCACAACGGGGATGTCTCGGTCCATCGCAAAATGGTTTGTAGGCTGTTGCACAGCCCGGAAAAGGACAGAGAAGAAGAGCAGGATGAACAAATGCGCTAACTTCCAACAACTGATATTTTATTTTCAGTATCGGTCATGTATACGCACACAAGATCACGCGACAGTGATGACAACTTTTCGCTTTACAAATCATGCCCAATGAGAGGGTCTTCAATCTTATCAATCAAATGTGCGGACAACAGTTTACACATTGCGACCAAACATAACCTCAGAGATGTGCGTAAATACTGAATCTTCTTGGCAGACGATGACAGTGACAACTGAAAAATACAGCGGTAGCCGGCAAGAAAGATGCGATCTGTTCCTCTCATCACCCTTAGACGCTCCGATTTATTTCTTGCAAGAATGGCCGTGTATTCTAGTAGTCCTCGGCATACACGCGCTTTGCAGGAGTGCAGTGTATCGTCCTGTACATTGCTGTCTTCCTTTGTTTCCCCGCTATGCTACAAGCAAGCTTACGATGAACCAACAAGCCCATATCGGTACCATTTTTCGTCCCGAGTTCATGACCCAGACAGAGAATAATTTTTCCTTAACAGAGAAGCTTTCTGAGAAATGCGTAGATATTTCCTCCGTATACGTCGTCATGCTAAGAACGGACGGGGCACCGCTCTTTCGTCACTACCCAACTGTCTGGATCGAGTTCTGAAAGACAAACGCTTTCTGCAACTGAACACGCAGGTCCCAAGGCGGGATGGGCAGACTGACGGCACGATCTCAGAGGTAAGTGTTTCACAGTGTGTCTAAGAGTCGTGCGCGGTCTGCGTGAGGGAGAGAAAGCTCTTCAATGAACATAAAATTCTGCCGGTGTATACTATCGTCCCTACATGCACTGTATATGGTGGTAAGGCACTTGAGGAGTTCCAGGAGAATGAGGGCAGGAAAGAAAACTTAAAGGAAACATTACGGTTAGCGTAAAGATTGTCAAAATTCACTTGATGGTTTATTAATTAAGCCTATGTTCTCGAGAACCCTGAAGAGAAACTTTGAAATTTGACGCTGCCGAGAAGCCATAGGTGCAAGTATTTTCCCGAGATGATAAAGCGGTGCTTAGGAAGCTTAGCGTATTCTATTCCTAACTATATGTGTTGCCTTGGTTTCATCAATCCACCCACCTGCAGGTTTCTACTGCTGGAGCCTGAAGAGGCGACGGCGTTCATCGAGGCAAACTGGGAATTTCCGCTCAAGAGACAGACGCAGGTGATGCACGTTTCTATGCCGAGAGAAAGAGCAATGAAAAAAAAATAAGAAGACAGTTAATCTGCGGTTGATCGCCATGTACGAACTTGGCATGAAAAAGGGAGGAGAAAGCTTGACGAAGATCTAGCTGGGCAAGCGCTGTCAACGTTTTTCTTAGCATTCTTTGCAAAAGATATTCCGAAGACAGCAACGAAAGACGTACAAAACGCATCAGCATATTTTGTGCGATGTGTTTTGCACGTCTTTCGTCGCTGTCTTCGTTTTCTTTTTTGTAAAGGCTGCGCAAAAGAACTTCCATCAAGAGAAAAATAGGAGTATGCAAAGTCACCATGACATCATTACGAATATAGCAGTGGCCGACTACAAAATATAACAAAAAACATTATCAGCGCACAGTCGCCAATGTAAAGGTCACTTCAAACGCTCCAGCGTTTTCATGCGTAAAGTAGTGTGGTGTACCCTAAGTTTAGTTCTTTTAGGTACGGGATCAACAGCCCAAGATGGTGGTGACCTAGAACGCGTACACATAGAGTGAATGAATGCGAGGCGGCGCTTTCGCAGGTGACCGCTCTGGGCGTTCTGAAGAAAAGCCTGGCGGACGAAGACGCCGCAACCTGCCTCTTGCTCGCCACCGAGGACGGACGCCTGTTCGTGCTCGAACCGGACGCCTTCACGTTGCTCGCAGCCGTGCAGGCAAGCACTCACTGTTAATCAATCAATCAATCAATTGATCAATCAACTAATCACCATTAAGGTAATGCCTCAGATGCCTCCGCAAACGCGAAAATTGAGCACGAGTGATGAAAAAATAATCATTGTGAAATGACGTCAATATGACGTTTTAACTCGACGTCACACGAGATCGTCACCTGGTCAAAGGTGGCGTTGATTACGTGGGATGTGCAGAACCTGGTAAGGCCCAGAAAGCTTTCGAGGAAAAAAAAGGAGGGGGGGGGGTGTTGGAGGTGTACTGTAGCTAGTAAGAAGAAAAGGAACGTGCCTTTCGCTTTGAGGTAGTTTTAGGCAAGTGTATGAGATACCACGTGAGTTTTTGTTTGCTTGTTTTCGCCGGGACACTGCGCCATCACCGTGCAGGTTCCGGGCGCCGTGTGCTGCCTGGACGCGCAGGGCGCCTTCGACGTGGACTTCCACGTGGCCCTGGCCACTCGGGACGACCGGCTGCACGTGGTCAAGCGGGGCCACAAGGCGTCACGCGTGCTCGCCGAGCCGGGGGCGCCTGCCGTCGGGCTGTGCCACCTGGAGCCCGGCCAGTTGGTGGCCGCGTGCGCCGACAGACGCCTGCGCGCCTACTCGCTCAAAGTACTCGACTTCGGTTTCATTTTTATTTAGCAGGAAAACAAATGCGGAGGGGTACCTGGTAAAACTTGACGAAGGCCCAATTAACAGCTTGACAAGCCCAAGGGTCCCTTACATAACAATAGCACACATGACATGTGATTTCATATAGCCTTCGCATCAACTACTTGTATACATATCAGCATATTGTTATGTCGTGAGTTGTCGGCCCAAGGACGTACGCGCGGGGCACGGTGCTCCAAAAAACATAGACAGTCTGGACGGGTGAAAACTTGTTTATTCCTAGTCTGGGATGGCAGTCAAACTGCCATGAGAAACGAGTCGTGATTCGCTTAGTGGGGAAGGGGGGGGGAGCAGTCGTAGAAGTAACTTCAGCAAAATAGCGCTGTGGAGCTGCGACGAAGTCAGTTTCGCAGCAAGCAACGGCAAACCAGTGAAAACGATAGCGGCGACTTGAAATGTTGTACGAAATAAAGCTAGCACCTAATAACTCACAATCAAACCTGGCATTACTGAACACAAACGCTGAGGTAAAAAAACGCAGCCTATGCAGTGCCCGACCTTCGTGCTGCCTACCACTTCAACATTGATTTCACTGTGCGAACAATCACGTAAATGGTATAAGCCGTCGACTCATCTTCACAAATATGATGCGGGCGCGCTACTGCGGCCCGTCGAGCTAAATGTGGAATGTGCCTGAGCCATGTACCCGCCCCTCTCCCTCCCCAGGGCTTTCCGCACGAGGAAACATGGTCAGCGCGTTCCCTCTCCACTTGAGACTCGTTCCACAGCTGAGATCAATGGGCAAGTGAAAGCGTTGGCTTCGTTAGGGCACTTCCACTTCCGCAACTGACATACGACAAGCGGAATCACATTATCAATTTGGACAATGCGTAGAGAATCCTGGCAACATCGACATCGACAACGTATGTAGAACACGTCAAAAGCGCCCATATAATTTTTGTCGGAATAAAATGCTTCATTCGTTCCCAGGCATCCGAGAGATCCTGCAACTAAATATTCCGTTTGAAGGTTGCCTTTAAATCGTGCTTCGCCGCAGTAACAGCCTTTGCAAGGAGAAGCCCAACTTTGACCACTGCGATCGTAGTTGTATGAGTATTGCGCGCATGCTGAATAACACAGAAGAAAAAACGCAGAAGAACGCCAAACAAAAATACAGTGGTTTTCAAAACTTGAACACGTTAGGCTACTGTCTGATACCCGTTGTCACAACAACAGCACATCGTTATATTTCTTTCCATTGTACACTGTATTCTCTTTCACAGCAGTGTTGTTACGCCCGCCGTTTGTCCGCTCTGCGATGTGAAGAAAAGCTCAGCCCAGTTTTCTTTTGCCACGTCAAGCCAAGTTAATCATAGCCAAGCCTAATGAAGTCTAGTTTAAGACGGTGACGTCTAAACAACACCATAATTAGGCTAATTAGGTCAGTTTATAATTAGATATGATTAAGCCGACGTAAAATTCTAGAGTGCATAGACGTACTGAGCTTGTCCCAACTAAAACTATTTAGGACTGATAATAAATTACGATAATTGCCATAATAAGTTAACCCAGATTGACTTGGGAGGAGATCCAAACAAGTCCAGCTTACTGACATGCTTTGACCGCAAATTAAACACGCACAAAGTAAAGAAACACTCAACGACAAGCAGCGGCAAGTGTTTCTTTACTTTGCGTGTGTGTTACTTGCGGCCAATGCATGTCAGTAAGCAAGTACCAACTGTGCCAACAATCAGTATTGTTAAAACAAGTCCAGACCTCGAATATGCAAGTTAGGCCGGCTAAGCTATTCCCGCGCGGTCCTCAATCAAACCTGACCGATACCTATCCAATACTGGACAGTTGGTGTGATCACGTGAACACTTGGTGTAAGCAATGCACGTGTGCCAAGTCAATGCTGGACCAGCCGAGTGTCAACCAGCTTTGCTGTGCCCCAGGCTCTCTGTGCAATGTGCTCGATTTCATTTTTTTTTTTATCCAGCGGTAATGCGACAGCGCATGTGCAGGGCCAGTGCGTGTGGAGCGTGTCGCTGGGAGCCCAGCCGTTGGCGGTGGCCGCGGTCTGTCGCCCGGGCGTGTGCCAGGCCGCGGCCGTGGCACTCGCCGATCGCCGGGTGGTGCTGCACAGCGCCGCCGACGGCACACCGACGCACGTGCTGAACACGAGGGACGCCGTGTCCGCCATCCACTTCGGCCGCCTTGGCCGGGAGGACAACGCCCTGGTGATGGTCGGCACCGGTCAGCACACTTTATGTCCGTTCCAGTCGCAGTTTCCTATAGTTACACTAGATAGAACTCTGGTGCTAGTGTCTATGGAAGCTGCAAACGTATGGCGCTCTAGCCAGGATGAGCATGATGACGCGGATTTGTCCAACCTTTGTCCTTCAGGCTCCGTCTGGTCTGCATCCGCTTTGTAGCAAGACGAAGTTTCGCAAGCTTTCGGGGTTCCTCTTCACCAGCATCACCTTTTTCGGCTCACACAACTCAATTCAGGTCATGAAGTTCACAACGATCAATTTCTTTATCCGAAACAAATTTCAAAACGCAACAATATAGCCACGAGTGCGTTCGAAACCGCAAACACGCAGATTAGACAAACCGGTGTTCTACTTATCATTCCCATGGTGTCTTTACGATCGTGGCGCCACAGTTCTCTATAGTTAATATTGAGAAACTCTATGGTTCAAGCCACTTTAAACATTCTGATTCACTTGACCTTCACTTCATGCAAAAACATAGTACGACAAAAGTTGAGCACGACGCACTGCAGGCTTAATAGGATAAAGCAAAATGCCCTCGCACAGGTATTTATTCAACTCTACAAGCGCTCTGGATTGGGCTGGTTAGTACACACTGAAGTTGAAAGACGAAACAGCGCTAGAACAAAACGTAAGCTAGGAAACACACATACGGCGCTATCATCCCTATTTATTGCCTTCGCGCGTCAATACAGACGGAAAAGCACGGCATTTAGCGAGATATCACCGCATAAAGTGATAAGTGACGGTTTCGATAAGTACGTCGCTTAATTTATGCGGAGCATCCGTAGGATTTATCCGTGATCCCAGTGGCTTGCTTCCTTACCTTGCACTTCATGTGCATAGTGTTTCGTTGAATTTCGGTGAGATCGATAACGAACAATCAGTTGACTGCGGTGCAGTGTAGCCGACCATGCAGGTCCTCTCTGTATTTTTTCACTCAATTCAGCACGCGAAACCTTCCCATAAAGGCCTGTTCGTAAGTACGCGCTGCAGAGAGCCAGCACGTGGCTTGTAGAGTCGCAGTCTCCCTCTCTCTCTCTCCATGAAGAAAGGGGGGCGTACGGCTTCGTGGAGCCACTCGCCCACTCCCTCCATAGGGAGAGGGAGCTGCGCCGAGTCCGTCTGACGCGCTGCTGCGCGTACGTGCGGTCAGACCTTGAAATGGCTGACAGGCGCCAGGGCTGCAAGACCCTGACCATCGCAGGAGGCAGCCTGACGGTGCTGATCCTGCGCCGCAACGCCCAGCTGCTGCAGTCGCCTTCGTCCCGCGAGACTCCCGGAGGTAGCGCGGTGGGCGGTCCCCGCTGGAGCCTGCCCAAGAAGACTAAGCTGTTCGTAGACCAGACCATGCGCGAGAGGGAGCACTCGGTCGGTAAGTGCTTCTCTTCTTCTTCTTTTCTTAAAGTACGAAGCTTCTTTTGAAGATAATGTAAACCCGCGCCCTCTGGCGGGGACAGTTCGCACAGCCACCCCGCGAGCTGGGTACAACCGACTAGAGGCCCGCCCTCTTACTGGGGGTGCAGGCCGCTCACGTGAGTTTCTAGCACTTGAGCCTCGACACTCTCCCCTGATTGATTGATTGATCGATATGTGGGGTTTAACGTCCCAAAACCACCATATGATTATGAGAGACGCCGGAGTGGAGGGCTCCGGAAATTTCGACCACCTGGGGTTCTTTAACGGGCACCCAAATCTGAGCACAGGACACTCTCACCTGGTCTGTGACAAGCTGTGGTAAGGCTCTACTTTGTTCACGCCAAGAAAATATCATAGCATCAACTAAGAAGGCCACGTTATAAGCCCGTAAGATCAACAGGTTTCATTGTTAAGCTTTACACGGTTAGTGCAAACCTATAAATTTTTTTGTCATTTAACTGTTTTTTCATTTAATACTGCGGACTGGTGGTTCAAGCAAGGTGCCCAATACAACTACAAAAGAAGCATAGCAATGCCAGAAAAAAAAACTGAAGAACTTTATTTTACAACCTGATCATTTGTATTGGCAAGGTAGTCCCATTTATTATTGGTTCCCGGAAAATAAGAAAACTTGAAATTGGTGATTGCGAGCGAAATACGGGGCTCGGTCGTTTCTTTGGTGTTGTCGGGTGGACCTCTAATTAAGGGTGTCAAATGCGGCGATAAATCTAATTACTAATATTCAACGACGTCTCTATACAAAGAAGGCAGGCGCTAGGCTGAGTTCACCCTGGTTATCAACATAGATAACGCGACAGAGAACGACTGAAAAGGACTTTTTGAGGACATAGTTGGTGCATATTGCAGAAAATCACTTAGAGCAAGAAAAAAAAAGAAAACCAGCACACAAGAAAGACACACCAGAGACAGGCACTTGTCCCTTGTGTCTTTCTTGTGTGTGGCGTTTTTTTTTCCCTGTGAGAGCATTCAATTGAACTGAATATATATTTGAGGCATGTATAAATAATAACATGGCTGCGGAAAAGAAAAAAAAGCCGCTCAATTGTGGCTTGACGAAGCTTCCTTCCCCCCTACACAGCGGAGCAGAAATAGCGCGGACATGACAATCTCAAAAAGTATAGAGGAAACAAACGAACAAACGCGGTGCACAATAAAATGGGCACTAATACAAATCTTTCCGGGTACATTGAAAGAAAGTTTCCGTCACAAAAAGAATTCAAAATGGCGGGCAATTTAAACATTAATTAAATAGGTTTCGAAGAGAGTTGAAAGAACTTTCGCCTGTCGAGGTGAAAGCCGAACTTGTTAAGCAGAGAAGGCTATGTGTAGCTTATGGTTTGAAAGTGTGCGTGGGTGAGGCAGAGACCAATATTCGAGGTGCCTTGTAGAGTAATAAATAATATTGGTGAGACTTCACAGAAGAACAAAATGCCATGTACAATGTGTGATTTGTAGAGCTGTAAAAGACGGTGCTGGTACATGTGCGCGATACGATAGAACGACTGGCGAGCCACCAGCGACTCGCGGCGAGCGATCTTCACATTTGCAAGTGCGACCACCCGTCGCCACGCAGGAATACGTCGCCATGGTGCACCGTTGACGCCTGCTCGCACCACCGTGGCCTCTTGCAATAAGCCCGCGCATATCCTGCTATCGTGCCCCCGAGTCGTTCACACGCTTTGAGAATGAATACTGAGTTAAAAAATGGACGCAAGGTAGGCTGGAAACTGTGATGGCCAACCTCTTGAAGGAAGACAACGAAGTTAATCGATGTGCGAGCGCCCTGGTGTTAGCCATTTTGCTAAACTAAACGCCCTGTCTTGTATCTTCACCTATGTGCCTTTCTAGCATTTATTTGGTAGTTTCCGACTACCTGATGTTCTTTAAGCTGCACCCGAATCGTTAAGCTGCTCCCAAATTTTACACGGGCTTCGAGCATCCTCGCCTCGAAGTACACGGGCTTCAAGCATCCTCAACTCGAACAAAATGCGGCCGCCACGGCCGGGATTCGATCCCGCGACCAGCAGTCGAGCCCTATAACCACTAAATCGTCGGGGCGGGTCCTTGAGAATATAGACACGCCGCTGACTACATGACGACGACTGATTCATTAACAGTCAATTTTCGGTCAAAGCTACCGTTTGTAGATGTGAGCCACAGGCCGGAATCTATGGCGAAAATACGAATCGGTGGCAACACTCAGGGCCAGCTATGTCTGGTATTATGCATGTTCTCTGTCTAGTCTTTTAACAACAACAACAACAACAACAACAACAATAATAATAATAATAATAATAATAATATGATGATGATAATGATGATGATGATGATGACGTCTGACGGACGAGGCTACGGTTAAAAGCAGCTTGACTGATCCGTGCAACCTCATCTATCCTAGGCAAGTCGGCAAAAGCAAACAAAGTCTTGCTAGCTAGTTTAGCTTAATTATAGCGTAAACTATACAGATAATTGTACTATTTCTGAGTGATGCCCGCAGACCAACTTTCTTTGTCTTACGTATTCGTACGTACGCATGCTACGATCACCACCTCAAAATGCACAACACCCAGAAGCGGGCTTTGCTGCACGCGATCCTTAATAGTGGCAAAGCCACCTTCCGGGTCGGCTGTAGCTGGGTTGGTTTGGTTATCTGAAGTGCGACCTCGTGGTAACTTAGCTGGTAACGTGTTGCGCAGCTGTGATTGATTACTCGGGTTGCATTCATGACCACCGTGACCGCATTTAGATGGGGTCCAAACTCGATAACACCCAATTACATAGGTAGAGATGCACGTTGAGGTAGTCGGTCGGTCAGACGAACAAGGGAGGACCGAGTAGGCATAGAGTTTCCTATAAATACACTATAGGGAACTCTTTCGCTAGTGTCTACGGTAGCTGCAAGGCACGGCGCTTCCTCGAGAATGGGAATAATGGATAGTGCACGGATTTGTTTAATCTTCCTAATTCTGGCACCGTTTGTGTTCGCGTGGCTTCAAGCTGTTTTGTCACGAAACAAAATAAGCAAACGTGCAGCGGTTGCGCTTCAACACCTTGATCTTTCAGGCTAATGATTTCAAATCGGGCCACAGAGTTCAAAAAGGATTCATCCTTTCCTTCGAAACAAAACCAAAACACAGCAATAAACGAAGCCACAAGTACGATTCGCCACCCGCAAGTACGAAGAGAACGCAAATCCGTGTACTTCGCATCATTCCCATAGTCACTGAACGATCGTGGCGCCCGTGCCCCCTCTGGTTACTTTCAAGAAACTCCACGCTCATAGGAGTTTACTAAAGGCCTGCATTGGGGGGCGGGAGCCAGCAGCTCGCGGGCGCTTCACAGAACATGGCATAAATTAGGGAGCCTACATAAACGGCCGGTCATGTAGCTAACGTGGTAGCTTGGGCGAGTTGGCACGACATGATTCACACAAAAAACAGCGCCAATAACAAGGGACAAGAAAAGAAGGAGACGGAAGGTGAATTCTGTTTTCTTTGATTTGTATTTTCTCTTTTTTGTCAGATATTGCTCAAGTATATATTCTGCGGTACCAGCAAATAAATCTTGTTGTAAGTCAGTGCCGCTTTCTGTCTCCTTCTTTTCTTGTCCCTCGTTATTGGTGCTGTTTTTTGTGCGGTCATGTAGGGTCCCAAGCCTAAATTATTCTGGAGCGCCCTCACGCGACGTGCGTAAGGGTCTTACCACGGTTTTTAAATGTCCCTGAATCAGTATTGAAACCGAGCGCCGTTTTCCAATCTCTGAGCGAAGTCAGAAAATGAAACGCCACATTTCATAGATTTTTGCTTAGTGATTCTACTTCGCGATTTTAATTACTTTCAATTCCCCCAAATCACGTCTGATTTCCAACTCCCTCCTAACTACTTCTAGTTACGCCCATTTAGTTTCAGTGCACACCTAATTATTTTATATCACTACTAATGACAATTAACTGCCTGCTAATTACTTTCAATGTATTCTTAGTTACATTAAACGGGAATAGTGCTTAGAGCTACGACATACTACAGGTACATGGAGCACTTGTGCACTACGCACCTCGAAAGCGCTGTTGACTTTCTTGCAGGCCACGGGCTTGACCGAAGATTTGTAATTAGTGCAGCCTACGTGTGTCTGTATGTGTTATGTAGTTATCAGTTTTCAAATTATAATCATCTCCCAGCATCTGGAGTAGAATGTGAGGCGAATAGCCAGACTGGAAACTCCAGCATTTTATTTGGTTTGGTTCGGGAAAACTTCACGAAGGTCTGAAGGCGTGTTCCCCAGCACCCGGCGGGTTGCTACCAGGCCGACACAGTAAGACCTAGACCTATACACCACCGCATCGTGGGCCCTCTGGACAGCCCAAAGTTATGATTGTGTGTCCTCACTCCTCAGAGCGGAGCCTCACTTTGTGTGCGATGCGGTGTCAGTGCCGCGTACCGAAGGGCACTCCCAGAGCATGTGGTGTAATGTGGCTGAACTACCACATTTCGTACACGAATTGTTAAATAAAACCTCAGGATAAAACTTGCGGAGAAAGGCAGGGTTGATCGATATGAGGGGTTTAACGTCCCAAAACCACCACATGATTACGAGAGACGCCGTAGTGGAGGGCTCCGGAAATTTCGACCACCTGGGTTTCTCTAACGTGCACCCAAATCTGAGCACACGGGCCTACAAAATTTCCACCTTCATCGGAAATGCAGCCATCGCAGCCGGCATTCCACCCCGCGACCTGCGGGTCAGCAGCCGAGTACCTTAGCCACTAGACCACTGCGGCAGGGCAAAAGGCAGGGTTAGCGTATGTTTCCATTTGAAGTAATCTCGATGGTTGTACCAGCCCTCTACTTGGCTTCTTATGTGGAGGTGGAAAAGATCTCCTAACCAAAGTAAATGCTGGGTAATATCATAGTAAGTAGTTGGCGGATCCTTATTTACCAAGTCTCCAGGTTAACCCAGGGGTCCTCCATGGCCGCGGACAACTAATGTTCGCGCCCTGGCCAAGTCTTTGAGATTGATAATCCCTTCTCCAACGACTACCATATGAGACGGGAACCATGCAATGCTATGAGTTGTAAGTGACCTCTCACCGAGTGTGTTTTTGGCCTGTTTGCACACAGCTCCAACGCTGAAAGCCCGAATTGCCACAGTAGAATGACTAAGCATAAAACACTTCTTTCTCTCTCGCAGCCATGCACCGCGGCTTCCTGCGCGACCTGCAGCGGCTGCGGCTGACGGCGGCGCGCCACTACCACCGCGCCGTGCTGGGAGCCGCGGCACCGGCACGGGCCTCCACCGACGACGCGGGCCCCGTGCTCGTGGAAGTGACGGCGCAGGTGCAGGGCCTGGGACCCCGGCTGGCCGTGCACGTGCGCCTGCAGTCGTCGCGCCCTCTGAACAGGCTCACCATGGTGGTGCACGGGGACGACCAGTACCGACTGCAGAAACCCGCCACGCAGGTGCCTTCCTTTCACTCACGGTGTCCACGTCCGAGGACGCCAACTTCGAAGGCACGTCACACGCCACGCGTTTCTCCAGATGGCTTCCCACTCAGTTCACACACTGCCGCAGGCTTCGTGAGCGGACAATCAGCGGTCATTTAACTTCACTGCGTTGCGTATTGCTGCAGACTCTGCTGGAGACACCGCATGTTCGAAAATCTTTCGACGTGCCGCGGTCCAGGACCAACGAGAAAAGTATTTTTCTTCCCCGCTCTAAACAAATACAACCAGAAAGCAAATTGTGCATGCATTTCGGGCCTAACAGTTGATTCTTTTTTATGGACGTACTGAAGCTGGCCGGTGGCAGCATGATTAGATAATTAGTTGAACACTTATTAACATTATTTACTGAAACTCACGCAAAATAACAAATTCTTTTTTTTTTTTTTGTCGGAATGTTATACCGAGGACCTTGGAACCATGTGCTGCAAATTTTGACGCGTTTTTGACAGTGCATCATAATTAGTGACTGAAGGGGCTAAAATTAACTAGAGGGGACTTGGGCGCTGCAATTATTCAACGACTATGGGAACAAAACTAGTACATGAAATACAACAAGAGAAAAAAAATACACAAAAAATAAAATATACAAATGCGAGCACGATGCGACACAAAATGAACACAATGCGTAAAAAGAAGCAGCAATCCCACCTCGACATCACCAAAACTGACAACAATGGTGTGCCAAGGCAGCCATGAAATCATTCGACCCAAGAACATCAATAGGAAGGAAGTTCTAATCGCTCACTGTTCGAGCAAAAAAAAAAAAAAGTACTTTGTTCTGACGAAAATCGGCGCTTCACCGAAGAATAACGAAGGATGGCATATAGTGAATGCATGCCTACTACACAATGATTAATGGCGTAGTAGGTAGCCTGCAAGTGTGTTTGCAGCAGCTACACAAAGAGCATTAAAAAAGGGGCACTGAAAGGCCACTCTTCCAGCTTTCTTTGTGACAGTGCCGCGCGTTCTGCTTGGGCCTTGCGGTTTTTAGCCGACCGGTCTCGAGTAGAGGGAATTCCCCGATATTTATGGTGCAAAGCCGTTTATGGTGGACCATGACTGCATGGCACACCGTGACGACATTAGACGCCGACAAGCAGAGATCCTAAGGTGCGTCGCACCCATAAAATAATAAAGAAGTTTAAAAAATGTAAACAAGAAGTAATGATACGTGCTAGTGAGAGATCGCTGAACATAGATGTAGCGAAAAATTTTGTGTAAAACATTTTAGCGAGGTGAAACAGATTTCGCTAAAAAAAAAAAGGCAACGGTGACAATCAGGTAACATACATAAACATCGCGATCATTGCAAGAGCTTGTACAAATAGAGAGTGTAATATGACTAATTGGTAGAGTTACACGAACATGACACGAAGACCTGAAAATGTGATGTTTTCTATTTTAACAACCTTTTCTTTTTTTTAACCGATTTAAAATTGAAGGTAGCTTGTATCGAAGAACTTGCTTCCCCTAGTTGGCACGACTTCGAGCTACGTCCCACCGTTACGGACTGCATGCTTGTGTAGTATAGAACTGCATTCATCATGAGATTGGCTTTGCGTAACAAATCGTTGACTTGGTTTTTACGGCTCCTAAACTAGCACAGCTTCACCGGCAAATCATTGGACTCCTTGGCGAGCGCAGAGATACCCTTCAGAAGAGGAGGGGGGGGGGGGGGGGGGACGAAGGCTTGTCGCAGCACTCCCGTTCTGTTATTAATTCAATTTATGTGGAAGACTTTGCGCTCCCTGATGATGATGTGTAGGGTTTAACGTCCCAAAACCATCATATGATTATGACAGACGCCAAAAAGGAGGGCTCCGGAAATTTCGACTACCTGGGGTTATTTAACGTGCACCCAATTCTGAGCACACGGGACTACAACACTTCTATACTTCCACTGAAAATGCAGCCGCCGCAGCCGGGATTCGATCCCGCGACCTGCGAGTCAGCGGCGGTGTACCTTATCCACTAGACCACCGTGGCGGGGCGACTTTCCAGTCCCACCTGTTAGGTGATAGAAGCGAGGCTGTCCCTCCTGTGCGCACGCCTATGGTTGGACAACTGGCCCAAGCGTTGTGTTTCACCACGCCGCAGGTGGCCTACCTGGTGCCGGGCCTCGCTTACCGCTACACCGCGATGGTAACGGCGGAATCTGGTGCGCCCGGAGTACTGAAGGTGAGTCAACTAGTATACCCGATACATGGCCCACTTTTACCACAAGTCTGTAATGACAATCCTTACGTGAGAAAATTAGAATTGATATGTCTAAATTTATCGCTATAAGCAAGGGTCTCGTCTGGCAGACTGAATGCCTTATGGTAGTGCACGAGCGATTATTGGTCAGCAGCCTGCTCGTAAAATGGTCAAGTGCTTCATGACACCAGAAGGCAGAAAAGAAAAAAAAACTGTTCCCTCATGGCTATAATAGCGGCGGTGACTAACACTTTTTTGCACGGGGTTTATATGCAGATATATACCCATTGAAAAGGCCGGTAGTATTGCTACCGCTGTAGCTGAGTTGGTAGAACATCGAACACGTTATTCGAAGATCGCTGGTTTATTTACTGAACGTGCCTTGCAACGTTTTTATTGAATATGTCTCATTAGAGTTACTATTTCAAAAGTTAAACAACCAGTTTTTGTTCCTTACTCAGCTTGGTGGACTGATAGTTAGCATGAATGAAATATTCCGATGTTCCGAGACAAGTGCTAACACTTAAGTATCGAAAAATTTTATGTTAGAGTTACCAATTTAAAAAAAAACTTAACTAGATATTGTCAATAACCCAAATCGACGGAATGGGAAAAAATATCCTGACGTGCTCCATACAGCTCTGAACAATACTGGGCCAATTCGACACACGTAATATACATGTTTGTTCTGTTTTTTTAATGCTAGAACGATACAGTAAGGACAGAATGATACTTAAATAAATGTACGCGTGATTACACTGAAATGCCAGCTTATCTTGCATCGAGGTCAGCAAACCATAGCAACTTCAAATGCCGTATAGCTTGGGCAAGGCTTTAACCACCAAGCCATAAAGGAAGTGCTGAAAGCCCCTTCGGCTGTTAACGTTAGCGAATCGTATCCGAAGCTTGCATTGAATTCGCAAAAATTAATAATGCGAAAGCCTTATCTGTCGCGTGAGATGAAAAATCCCACGCTGGCGGCACCAACACAAACAGTACAAAAGGTATCACGCGTTACTCAAGGGAACAAGTGAATTACAGAACATCAAAATTAGGGCGAGTTCTGAGTGCATCAAAGTTCTTTGATGAGAATTACAGAGGCTCAAACGAACTCTGAAGCGAAAGCATCAATTAGTTTTGACTGGCAAATTATTCTTTTAAAACTACAGCATCGTTGATTTTACCACCACAGGCCTGGCGAGAGAATCAGTCAAAAGCTTCACTGTTAAATTTCCCGCTGAAATAATCGATGGTGACGTCAAGGATTTCAGTGTATTTTTGTATTTCGGCCACACTAGCTCAACAGACTTTCCTGAAACATGGCATATGTTACGTCTGTGGCACCATCAGAAGACGATGTGACGTCACGGCGACTGGTGCAGTTGCATTTTCATTTTGCACGTTTTCTCGCTTTCCAAGCGTCTTTTCGCAACAAGCGTGGAGTTTTTATTATTGTGAAGGAGCACTTTATTAATATGTGAAAAAGTGGTTTTCTTTATTTAGTGTCCTTCACTTTTTTCGTTTTTATTTTAGCTGCAGTGTGTTGCTGAAGGCCTGTTAGTGGTAACACGGCACATCGTTCACTGCAGCGCGCGACAGATAATAAATTACAGGCTCCTTATGACCAACCAGTTTCGTCTGAGAGAACACCAAAAGAAACGAAGAGCGGTCGGGTGCAACTATCACCCCCTGTCATCTGCAACGCTCGACCGCGTAAACACACGAACAAGAAAGGGAAAAGCATTGCCACCAAACAAACTTCCCGCACGTGGGCCACGGCCACGAACTGACCAAGAGCAGCCGGGTATAGTCTGCTGAAGCCAGTGCAGCAAAAATAAAAATGGCGACTATGCACGTCATCATAACCTGATTGACCGCAACGTGGTGACGTAAGTGAAGGAGGGAGATCCCCATGTCATGGGTCACTTTTGCGGTTGTCGATACCGCGAGACGCACAAAACTTCAAAATTGGTGTAAAATGCCTTCTAGGCCATATTCACTGTTAATATTTTGTCGATATACGCCTGTCACGGGGAATCGATCCCACAGGTCATCTCGATTGCAAAATTTTGTGTCAGTACGCAAGAAAAGGGACCCAAGATGTGGGTTTTGTGTGCATACAGCATAAGGAGAGAAATATAGTTGATTCATGTGTGTAGTTTAACGTCTCAAAACCATCAAATGATCATGAGAGACGCCGTAGTGAAGGGCTCCGGAAATTTCGACCACCTAGAGCTTTTTAAAGGAGACAAAAATAGCTATAGCCTTCGATTGCCACGCTTTACTATGCCACGTACCGCTGTCCGGTAATGATTGCCCCAACGGCTGCCCTGTGGAACGAAGGGGTGACCGACTGCTACACGCAATGCAGGTGGTCGTGGCCAAGCAGACGAAGGTCTTGGCGATCGCCCTGGTGCAGATGCCCGCACTGGACATGCCTTAAGGGCCAACACACGTTGAGAAGACTCTTGGCACCAGCTGTTCATCGTTGCGCTAAGCACGAGTTGTTTCGACCCAAAGGCTATAGCTTATAAAAAACGCCCTCACGGCAAATGTAAATAAAAAAATTGGCGCCGTATCTGCATGTTTCTGCAAATGTCGTCGAAAGACGATAGTCTTCCGTGTGGAGAGAGTGAACAAGACATTTATTTGGTGTTCTGCGCAAGAAAATCGGTGAGCGGTATTCTGGAGGCGCTGCTGCCTCGAGCATGGAGCGGATGCTAACGAGGGAATCAAGCCACGTCACACGTGAGGCATGAGCGCTAACTGGCAGTTATCTTGGAAAACGAAGCATGCTGCGTGCGCGCCCGTCTCGGAGCCGATAAAATGTAGAACGCAAGGCGACGGGTAGGTGCCACCACCGTCTAGTCTTAGCAAGGCGTTGGAAACCCTCCCCGTTCCGTGCAAGCGTTGCGCGGTCAGTGCAGTGTAATAAGCGCTACGGTCCTTAAAGTTGCTTATGTATGCCTTTTATAGTAAAAGACGCGCATACAGAATATATATGTGTTGTTATGGTGCCCCAGACATGCGCAATAATTGCTTTTTGACAATTGCACAAGCATGAACGCTCCACCTTGAGCAACATCTGTGGGCGCTCCGGATGGGGTTTCAAGTACCCGATGCCGCTAATAGTGGACAAACAGACAAATGTACAGACAGACAGCCCAAAACTTTTGCGTCGAAGGTCCCCACGAAGGACTATCGTCTTTAATAAGGACTGGTTGTGGGAGTGCACCCCTATATGTATGCGGTAATTATTTTTCACTTCTTATAGAGCGAAGCCGTTAATGCCGAGCCGATTTGTGCGCCGCGCTGTTCGCATTATGTGCTACAGAAATTGGGCAAGTCACTTCCGGAAAGGAGTGCATCGCTATTGAATGCGCTTAGTCGTGTCCACTGTGAGGCAGACCTTTCTTTCCTCTCGTCCGATAATGAACAGCTTATATGCACATAATTAAAGAAAACTAACAGGCAATAATGCCCCGGCAGGTATCAGGGACATAAGCTCACGTGACGCCAAACAGGCAAAGAGGACACTGTTCCACACTCGCCGCAATGGCAACAGGTGGCGCTGACAGACGGTTCCACGTTTAAGAACGAGGACAGCGGCCCGTGCCAATGGGATCCCGGACTAAGGAGCCCACTCACCGACATTCCTTCCTCGGTCGCAAATAAATGTTTATTCTCTCTCTCTAAGTGAACATATATAACGTATAAAGTGGACGGGGAGATGACAGCCACCGTATAGCTGAGTTGGTGGAGCATCGGACACGTTATTCGAAGGTCGCAGGTTCGGATTCTGTTGGTAGCAAGTTATCTTTTCCTCCACCACTCTTTCTTTATATTCACATTACAATTGCTTCTCCCCAACCCATTCCGTGACATTATTTTCTGTTAGTTATCATTAGTGTTGTGTCTAAAAAAGAAATATACACTTTCCTTTTCAACAACGAGTGTTTTCACACTCGTTGTTTGGCTTATAGATGGCGCTGACTGTCACTCCTACTTCTAAATTCACATATAAACCCCAGAAAGTGGATGGAGGGACGGCCGCTGTGATAGCTCAGTGGTTAGAGCATCGAACGCGTTATTCGAAGGTCGTAGGTTCGATTCCTGCTCACAGCTGGTAATTTTTTCATCCACTTTTCTTTCTTCTTATTTACATTCCATTGGTTCTAATAACTTCCCCTGTACATTCCTTGGCATTACTGTCTGTTATATCTCATTAATATTGTGTTAAAACACGGAAATACGACGAGCCCTTAGGTATACACTTCTCTTCCTTATATATATATATATATATATATATACAATTTTTTCTGTGGTCCCGGCAAAGGCCCATTAGCCAGGTAATGTAATAGCGTACGGTTGTTGCTCACCGATTTTCACCGCACGACGTTTGATACGAACGTTCGCTCCTTATTCTAAAGGGACAGGGCCTGCAAACACGAAGAGTTGAATTCAGGACACCACAAACGCCCAATAACAGCTAAGGGTGCGCACAACGGCGGAGAACGGCGGTATAGGTATGCTGTACATTCATTGCGCATCTCACAGAATAAAGAAAGTACGAAGCAGATGCGGCTTTAATAGGTATAGTTTTCGAACAATCCGGGCAAAGCTTTGCGCTAGTGTTTCGCGCCACTGCACATGCGTCGTACGCTAACCGCTTGCGGGCTCCCGTTAAGTGACGGAAATAGCGGGCGACCGCAACGAGAGCTCAGTTAGCCTACGCTATCTCAAAACTCCCAGATGTTTTTACGGCTGCCAATAATCTAGGTAAAGTTTGCGACACTGCGCAGAAAAAGAATGAGGGAGTGAAAGACATGAACCAATATTTGTTTCATTAAGTACAAGTGTGGTTTATAAGGTGCCTCTCAGCTACGGCCGCTTTTACGTTGGACAGACGTAAAAGCGCCAGTAAAAGAAAAAACAAGCCTGGGCTACCCCGAATGACGTCTCCGATCTCGTATGACACTGCACGTGGCAGCCGCTTTTTCGTCAATGTTCGTTGTTTTTGTTTCTTCATTATTTTTTCTGACAGATACCATCCAACCGTCGCTCAACGTCCATCGTAGTCCCCGATAGCCTGTTCAAACGACCTACGCACGTGAGAAGCTTTTGCTAATTCTTTCAACGTATACATTTGAGGGCACTAAAATGGCCGCACATTAGGTGGCAATGACGTGTTTTTTTTTTTTAATTTCGCGCACTTTAAGCAAACGCTGGTAGAAAATAACCAGCGTCATTATCTTGCATAAATTGAAAATGTTGTTAATTCTGGATAAGGATTACAAGTTTTGTACTGAAATTCTTTCTGTAGAGTCAGTATTTGAAAGTTTATTAAAAAGTTTGCTGTGTCATTTACCGTGCTTGGTGCTATTTAGCTATATATGACCGTGCAAGTGATGGTACGGACATCGACACTTGCGCGGTCACTCGAATTACTGCAATGCCTACAGCGGACATCGAAGAACCCACCCCTGTGCATGTTCATGCAGATTTTCAGGAGTGTTCAATTGTCAGTTCAGCAGAGGTAAGCTGACGCGTGAAATAATCGACGCTGAAATTATTGATAGGCTGGCAGATAACTGTAGTTACAAGCCATCGATTGCCCTTTCGTGTAAGGAGTTGGCCTATCTACACAAAGATATGGGCACTTGCAACGTATTTGCGCAGCGCAAGACTACGAGTAGTTACGGCACTAGGCCGCTGTGATAACTCAGTGGTTAGAGCCTCGAACGCGTTATTCCAAGGTTACGGCACAAATCCGGAAGAAAAGACAAGGAGATAAAAGAGCGCTGATTTCAAGTGAAGTTTTATTAGCTTACTCGTAGTATATTACGCTGTGCAAATATGTTGATTCCCAATCACCAACTGGCCCAAGCATCATCTGTCTCGTCGAACTTGCAAAGTGCGTGCGCCCATGGTGATTGAAAAGCGATGTTGCCTATATATGTTGTTAGCTTTTTTCTAAAATAAACATTGTTGCAAGGTAGCACTTGTCCCGTATTTATGAGCTCGTGTTTTTCTCGAGACTACTGTATCACGTACCAACACGTCCCAAATGCTGCGTTACTCTCTTAGGAAATGCCGAAGTAACTCTTAGTGAATGTCGAAACATTTAAAGCGCGAAACGTACTGGAGAAAAACAACTAAGCATAAAGGAGACGTGGCAAATAAACGACAACAAAAGTAGAAATAATTGCTCACATAATCAGTGACGGGCACGGACAGTGCCAGGCGGTTCCGTCCCAACCATCATCACTTTCTGTCCGTTTTTTTTCTCGTTTTTTTTCTTTTGGGCACCAAATGTTTCAACACGAGCAAACCAACTTACTTTTTCAAGTACTTCTCTAAGTACATCCCGTCTCGACCAACGGTCGTCTGATTACTGTTCTGCCTCCTCACATGTTCATGTGAGGCTGACACCAACCTATTTCAACACTATTTCACACTCTAGCACTGAGAACAGGACCCGTGCTAGGTACCTATCCTTTCCTTGCTGCCAAACTGCTGTTCGTGCTGAAGAAGTCTGCGCCACTACTCACCTAACCTTGTCCTCTTCTATCCGCTTTTCTCCCATTCCCCCTACGCGTAGGCGCTGCGCCGTGCTCCCACCGCGCAGCAGAAATTAGGCGCATTCTTCTTCTGACCGCCACCACCATCATTTCACACGCCATGTGCCCGAGTGGTTCACTTGCATCGTAACGAAAACACTGCGACAGTACTTACTAGTTCGCATAGCCGTTTCGAAATCCGCCGGTACACTTCCCTGGGCGCTTTTTGTTTCCCTCACAAGCTGTACACTATGACAGACATCGGTGTTTCGCTACTCGAAACCGCCTTCAAGGCACTGCGCCGTGCTCCCGGCTGGGTTGCAGAAATTAGGTGCCTTTTCTCATCTTCTCACTATTACCACCAACAATCCGCGTTTAAAATGCGCTGTCTGCTATGGCTCCTTGGCTTTGACTGTCGATCGACTTGACGTTGAGTTTGACTTGGATTGAAGTAAGACTTCGGCTTATATAACTCAAGATATAGAGTTAGTACAACAAGCTCCCCATAGTGTCCTTGCACTAAAACCCATTACCGCTTGGATGCAGCCGTGATGGAACGACACTCGGCTTTCGCGTAACGTTCACTCACACTCGCCACTTCATACGGCCATAGCAGCTGACATTTTTCTGTTTCGTCGGGCTCTGTTACGTCGTAGTAAGATTCTGTCACATGAAGTCGAGTTTTTGGCTCATATCAACGAGAAACACGGATGACAGCGCAAGCAAGCAGGCACACACAATCGGCCTCATCGCTACGCCATGCCGCTACGCTCTCAACAACTTTACCACAGAACGGGTTCCTGTACTCTCAACCATAGAGTTATTATTTAGACCTTCCTCTATGCTCTCAACGTTACAAGAATGGTAATGCCTTCTACTAAAC